GTAGTCTAGAGATTGGAAAAGATTATTCTCTATATTATACTGAAGAAAGATTTGCAAATTGCCAGACCACTCAATAAATTCCTTGACCAAGTTTTGACTAGGACACATAGATATATGGACAAGCAGGTTTCAGAAAAGCCAGAGGAATTAGACAACTACATGACATATAATGAAGAGAACAAGAAAATACAAGGTGGTTTACCTTGACTATACTCAAGATCTTTGAATGTGTAGGTCTTGTCAAAATATAAATATATTAAGGCTAATTGGCAGAACACTGGATTATTCTTCTGAGGAATCCTTCCAATGAACAAGAGACTATTGTAAGATTGAATGTGGAGGAACAAAGTAGTTCAGAATAAAAAAGGAATGAGCCAAGAATACACCTACTCTCCATTTCGGTTTAATTTGGATAATAAATATATGATGAAAATGTCAGAGGTGAGATTTAAAGAGATGATAGCTGGAAGAGCAGAAGGTCAAGAATTAGCCATTTGAGATGTGCAGAAAACAATATGTTATCTGTACGTAAAAAAGACTAGATACAGCAAGTAGCAGTATCTAGTTGACTTCAGTTGATTGAAAAAAAAAAGTTACGTTGGGGTAGGTGATTTAGAATTTGCATGAAAGGCCACTAAGAAATTGCAAAACTTAAAATAAGACTGTAAAATAAATACTTAAAAAAAACCATTCTGGAATACGAAAATGGCAATTAACTGCAGTAGTACTGTTGCCTATAAAACAACACAGACTCATCCATATAGTCCCCAAGATTTATGTAAAAGAAGATTATAAAAATGTGTTATAAAAGTAAAGAGAAAAAATGAGAAATATTAAGTTAATACTTAGTAAATCACCTTAACATTAAGATGAAAAAGTTACTGTTAACCTACAAACTTACAATTGAAGAAGTGAAGATGGCTGATAGATTTGTTTTCTTGGGCTCAAGAATATACAAAGATGCACAATATGCTGGAGAAATAAAGATGAAATAAATCCTACAGAAAAGAGCAATGAAAAATTTATAGTAGACATAATATACTAATGAGGGGTAAGGACATTTCAATGACAATTAAATTAAGAATAGTTAAAAGCAGTGTTATTTCCAGTGATAACACAAGGCTGGAAAGCCAAGAAGAATTGAGCATCAGATCTAAGCTACAAAAAAGCAGATCATCACTAAATTGCAGAATAATGATACAGAAAACTCTCTGGTGCTATTCAGTGGTGATATGGATTTTTGCTGAACTGGTAGCCTCAAGAAGTGCAAAAGAAAAAAGTGCATTTTTGAACAATGGATTTCAGGACAGTTGACAAGGACCATAAGAAAGAATAAATCAACCAATCCAAGATCAAATAAATTAATTAATTCTGGATCACATAAGGATTGACTGTTCCTTTTGATCAGCAAAAGAAAGTCACACACTTTGAAAGTGTGATGCAAATGAATAATGAATTAGGGGGGAAATAATTTGAGGGAATTGGGAAAAAGGACAAAAATAAAACAGACAGGATCAATGAGATTACTAGAATGTCTGAAAAAAACTGATTTATTACTTAAAATAGGTTAGAATGATGTTTGCTATATAGTGATCAGAAGAAGTGAAATGGGACTTAAATACATCTAATTAATTAAATAAGGTGACTGATCCCATCATACTTGAATATTTAACTGCATTTGTTTGTTTTGTAACTCAGCTGATTAATAAACACTACACTGAATCTAAAACAATACCAAATAATAACAGCATGTGTTAAGGCTGTCCCTCTTCCAATTTAATACTTTCTTAATTTTCTTTTTTTGAAGTGGAATAAATGCCTACTTAAATGAACCTATGCAATATAAGTTCACAAATGTCTGAGAAGTACATTGTGGCAGGTCAAGATCACTTATTCCTTAGTAATTGCTATGAAATGCATTAGATTGGAAAAATATTTAAAAGGTGAATGACTTTCCAGGTAGTCCTTGGTTTACAACTATAAGTGGGCCTGGAATTTTGGTCATAAGTTGTTATGGTTTTAAATTAAATTAGCACATGACTGACCCTGATTTTATAAGCATTTTTTTCAACACCCATAAAATGAGTCACTATGGTCATTAAGCAAATCACATGATAATAAATGTGAATCAACTGTCTCCAATGACAGTTTTGCTGTTTTTGCCAGAAACTGGCAAAAATCCTTGCAAATTGTAATCACGTGACCGAGACACTGCAATTGGTTGCAAATGTGAGCCAGTGGCCAAATGCTCAAATTAAGATCATGTGACTGTAGAGAGGAATTTTTGCAATGGTCGCAAGTGCTTTACAGGCTGTAAATCCATCATTTTATAGGCTGTTGTAACTTTGGACCATTGTTAAATGAATGGTCATAAGTCAAGGACTAGCTTTATAAAGCTTAGCATCTGACCAAAACAGTTGGCTTGGAATCAGGTTGCACATTTTATAGACATTATTACAGGCATCTCCAGCAACACATGCTTCTAGAAACTCCTGTTAGGGCAGAACACTTTCTCAATTGACATGTAGACCAACAATTTCTCATCCCTTGAGGTTAAATAATGAGGAAGGAATTTGCTTGAGGATCTTCATTTTGAGTTTATCTATGAAATTAGTTGGATGAAGGAAAGGAATCTGCCTCCCCCAAGACCGTGGAATAAAACCTGTTGTGATTCATGAATAATCTAGCTCAGATAGTACAGTGGGTGTCTACATGGAATGACATCAAGGTTTGCTTTTATTTTGGTTGAACACAAATGAAGCTTTGTCTGACTTTCTTCAAGATAGCTTTTCTCAGAGTTCTTATCTGTGTATTACATAACCCTACTCATTGTTCCTTTGTTGATATTTCTTTGAAACATAATCCTTTTCCTTAAACTTAATACCGATCTGAGCTTTTTTCTGTTGTGTGTATAATGAATCCAAACTATTAATTTAAACATCCTTTTATACCAATTTGTTTTTTGGGGGAAAGTTGAAATCCAATATCATTTGCTGTTATCAGTCTGAACTATCTTGATTAAATGCAGGAGAGCCAGTGGTAACAAAATGTTTACAATATTTTTTTTAAAGCTGTGATAATTCATATTAGCAACTACATTTGCTGGTATTTTTATTTTCTAGTAATAAGTGTCAAGAAACCCAGAACCCAGACCTGACAAATATCATACAAAGATAGCATGGCATTTCATATTATCTTTGCTCTTAAAAAAACAATATTTCTTTTAACCTTCTTGGTGATTAGGTACCACCTTCATTGTATTGTTTAAGACAAAAAATGTGATATTGTCCTTCCCATGCTGACATAATCCTTTCAGCAGTGTTGATTAAGACTTCAGGAAGCACTGGTCCTATGCATCCATGGAACTCAGCTGGGAAAGCTTATTCAACATTTTAAAAAATAAAACTGTTAGCAAATTATTTGATTAGAAAAAAGTCCCCCCAAAGCACATAACTCATTGTTTAGAATGAGATTATGTATGAGATTATGTCTTAAGAATCAAACTTAAAATTTCTTTAGAAATTAAATAAGAAGCTAAGCAGCAATGTTTGACCATCTGACTATTAAAAAGTTCCTACATATGTGTGAATTTCATGTTAAATGCTACTCATTCTGTTTTAAACAGAAATGGAGTTTAAACATGCATTTCAAATTAAGAATGAATATATCTGTCCATTCTGGTTTCATCCACTTTTTCAACCTACCCACCTTAAATTTATTTCATCCCAGCTTCATTTCAGGTTGTATTTTTTAAAAAGATATTTACATGCAAATTCATACCATTCACTAAGTGATTTACTAATGCATTTTTGCAAAACATTTCAAATATAAAATGTGTTGTTTATTTTTTTTATGTGTGCATATTTATGTCTAGTATTTTTACTTAATGAGCAGTGTGGTGGCTCAGTGGTTTGTCATCTGGAAAACCAGGTTTGAGGCCTAACACCACATGATGGGGTGAGCTCCTGTCCTCACTCCAGCTCCTGCCAACCTAGCAGTTTGAAAGCATGCAAATGCAGCTAGATAAACAGGTACCAGGTTGAGAAAGTAACAGCACTCCATGATGTCATGCTGGCCACATAAGAGTACTGACTCAATGGCTTTGAAACAGAGATGGCACCACCCCCTATAGTCGGTAATGATTAGCGGAGTAAAATCCACAGGGACTCCTTTATTTTTACTTAATAATTCTGCATCTGTTTTTATGAATTACACTGCAAACCCTAAGAAACTACAAGTGAATACACCTGTGTATTTTGTTTATGCACTGGTTAGGAAAACACAGATCAGGTAAACCTCTGCATTAAAGTATGAAAAATAGAATTTTCTCTGTGTCTTTCCTTCAACTGAATATTTATAAGGATTGAATGAAAAATGATGCTCCCAAAGTTGTAAATCACTGACAGGTAGCAGTACTGATGTGCTAGAAGCTCTTATGTATTCCTTAGCCTCTGTTCTTTGACTTCAATTGGTAGGAAGTTGCTATGAGAAAAGGTTCTGTTCTATTCTGTTGCTATTATTTGTGAAGTGAAAGCCTGCAGTAAGTGCAGTAAGTAAGCGATGTGACGATTAAATTTTGATTGCCTCTTCCAATTGAAATTCAACATCAAACAACATCAAAGTTGTTTATGGTGACACTGAAATGAGTATTCTACATTGCTAGTCCCCAAAAAATGTAAAGGTGATATACTCAAAAGAATTGGTTTTTTTTTTCTAAACTAGTGGAAAGGACTGTTAGGACCTCATTGAAGAAACAAAATGTGGAATTCTTTCATGATAGTTTTAAAAGTTGTCCAGCTTTGGCAGAGGTATGTGCAAATAGAGTTGACTGCTTGGAGACATAAATACTAACAAGAAAACAATTCATGTTAAAGATAATTTTCTTACTTCATCTATTAAAACATCCCTATTTAAACTGAAATTATGGAAGTGGTGTTATTTTTCATTCAACCATCATATGTGTCAAACTGCCAAAGAAATTTGGCATATGAATTACTTACATAAAGAGTACAATTCCTGTGTTGGCCAGAGCAAAGGCAAGACCCAATATTCCACTGCCCATGATAGCATTACTAAGGTTGAAGACAGACATTCCCAAAGACGTTGTGCCTGGACTCTGTAAAAAGAGAGAATAAGGGATATAAAGGAAGAAAGCAACTTAATTTCAAAACTTGGCAACTGTATTCTATTCAATGTTCATTTGAGAAGTCACTTTGTCGTTACATTAGTCACTTGTATGTTGAGTCTAACATTCAGTTATTTGCCCAGTGGAGTTCAGTAATATAACAAAACTGATAGATAAGTCAGTACTTTTTAATGCAATCCCTATTTAGTACCTATCAACTGGGTCCTATTGTATCCTGTTAAATTTCATTATCACCTCAATCTTTATGTCAATTAAGGTACACCTAAATTGTTAAAAGCCAAATTCATGCATTTCTTTATTTTTACACAACACATCTCAAAGCTTCATGGTTAGGAAGATGTCTTTTACAAGCAGGATCATAATAATTTACTCTAAGAGGATTGGTAGAAGTCAATATGGCAAAAGTGTTAAAGAGGTGGACTACTAAAAGTAGGATGACATGGCTTTACTTTTCTGCTCATCCATGTCTTGCCATCTAGACTTGTTAAGAGTGAAACATGGTCAGTTGTACCAAATATGCTGATTCCACCAGCAGGTCTCACTCAAAGCCTTTTATTAGTTTAGAGTGCACCATGTCCAGCAGCTTTCACTACAACTCCTTGGAGAGCATAGCCATAAGTTAGGAAAGGCAATAATGGAATTAAAATATGACCATCATAACTAGCAGCCATTGAGAACCTTACCCATTACTTTGGCTAATCTCCTTTTCAAGCTCTTGAAAATGTTAGGTAGCAAAATCTCATAATTTAATTGTTTGAACAAATACTTTTATTTATCTGCCTTCACCATTTGTCTCCATTAGGTAATTTTGGAATTCTGGAAGAAAAATTCCCTGCTTCTTACTTTATCCATACTGCATTCTCTGATCATTAGGAAGATTAACTGTGGGCTGCAGAGAATTATGCAACTTACATTGAAGGAAGGAAAGGACATAAATATAATCACATAAATGAAACACAAATGAGCAGTCCTGAAAAGGATAGCTAATGGCAAAGCTTCTCCTTGCATAGGACATCAAGATGTTTCAGCAGTTTCTGTACACATGCAACATTAGAGAATAAACCTGTATGAGATGAGGAGAGGAACCTACATATTCATCACACTTCTTCTTTTCCAAATGGCTGTTAGTTAGGCTTCTTCTGCTTTCGCGGTCTGCAATGAACTTGCTGAAAGGAAACAAGAAAGCAGGATTTTTTTAACATTATGAGGCATAGCATGAATGCACTTTTATCACCTGTTACTGCTGTAGAATACTGTGACATTTCAATGTACTGTAGATTTGGAATGGTTTCATTAAACCATGTTGTACACTGACATTTGAGAAGACAACAAATATTATAGATGGAGGATATAATAAGAGACATACAACACCTGAAAAGACATCCATATATGGTTCAGTTCCCTGATACACTGTTTAGAAATAATCCTCTGACGTGGCTATTTTGCAACAGGAGTAGTTTTCCTACTCCTTTTTTTTTTAGTGTGACCTGGAAATGCAAATGGTGAAATAGAGAACAAGTCCACAATGTCAGAGCAGTGTGAATTTGCCAGCATTAGGCTGTAGACTACAGATTCAGCATTGCTCCATTTTCACAAAATCCTTGACAGGAATGACTTTGTTAATGCACAAAATCCAATGCATTTTAATAACAATTAAACTAAACTAAATAAACTAAAAAAAATAAAATAGAAAGGAAAAAATAGTGCAAAAAAGAAAAACATATATAAAAAATAGGAAAAAATAAAGAAATGATTTCTCCCTTCATAAAAATAATTAGGAACAATTTTAGTAACTTATCACCTTCTATTATAATACAACAAATGTTTCCTTTTTCACAAATCTCATATCTTACCCATAAACAAATCCATAAAATTTTGTCATTTCTTTCCTTTGCTATTCCTCACAGAACTCTTCAAAATGTTAAACCAGTCTCTTTTGTGAATCCAATATAAGAAAGTAATCCGGCAGCCCAAGATCTCAGTTGCAGCTGTCCGTCGGTCCCCTCTGACTGTTGTTCCTCCCCTCGGGGATATCATTTCCCCTAGACGCTTTGGGAAGCCCGGGGGGGTCCCTGGCTCGCTGGTCACCGCTCCTTCGCCGCCCAACAGTCTCCTTGCTGTTTGGGAGCGCATGCCTGCTCCTGAGGTGAAAGGGTCCCTCGACTGTTGGCTATACCCCACCTGGGTGTTCATGGGTGATGTCACTCTTCCCAGACGCTTCGGGGGGCACGGGGAAATCCCTGACTCGCTAATTGTTGTTCCTTCACCACCCGATAGTCTCTTTGCTCTTTGGGAGCGCGTGTATGCTCCTGGGGCGGGGGCCCCTCGGTCACTGGTTACTCTCCACCTGGATGTCCGTGGGTGATGTCGCCCTTCCTAGGCACTTCGGGAGGTACGGGGGAATCCTTGGTTCGTCATCCGGCAGTCTCGTCATTTGGGAGCGTGCACATGCACCCGGGGCGGGGGGGTCCCTTGGCTGTTGGTTATTCTCCACCTGGATGTTCATAGGCTGTTTGGGTGAGGGGTTCGCCTCCTTCATGACTTCCTTCCCAGGGGCCGTAATATGATGTCAGATTGTTTCCACCGGGGTGGACGATCATACGCGCTCCACGCCCTCAATATCAGATGTGCTGGGCATAGGTCAATATGTCGCTTGATAGAGTCTCTATCAGAGAGCCAGGCTTCCTTAAGTAGCCGGCCCCCTTTTGTACTATCACTGGCCAGAATATGCACGTTGTCAAAATCAAAACGGTGTCCAGATTCCTCCGTATGCGTCCAAATCTGAGAGTAGTGCTCCCCCCTTCTTACGGCCAACCTATGTTCGTGGACCCTGGTTTTCACTCTCTTGGAGGTTTCTCCCACGTAATTGCTAGGACAATCCTTACAGTTGATCCTATATACAATTGCTGATTTTTCCACGTTGGGGAGTGGGTCCTTGGGTCGCATAATCTTGGAGCGTAGTGTTTGATTGGGTTTGTGGGCCACCTTCAAGTTGTGGGGTGCTAGCAGTCTGGCTGTCGCCTCAGAGACGTTGCTAATGTAGGGGAGGGTAACCCGGATTGCCTGCAATGGTGGTTCTTCTATCCGTGGGTTCTTCCGGGGTTTGGGCGGTATGCTATGGCGTTTGACAAACCTTGTTGGATACCCATTGCGTTTACATATGCGGAAGAGATGGTTCCTTTCTTCCCTTTTAGCTCTGGTTGTGTTGCAGTGGGAGTCTACCTGTCTAAATAGTGTTCTAATGCAGCGAGAGAGGAGGACAGCTGAGGGATACGGAGGTCCTGCCCAACCAAAAAAGGGGGGAGAGAACTTCCTCAGCTCAGGACTACACAAGGGGAGAATGAGTAGTAATATATATACAAGCAGGAGAGGCAGGAAAAGTGCTGCCATCGATACGGAAGTTACGACTGGAGTGCAACTTAACCAATTAGGACCGGTGACGAGATCCAGGAGCCGCGTGCAAACGGCATCCTGCCTATAAATGAACTCTCCCATTAACTAGCATTGAACCCTGACGATGTCAGTAGCTTCCGACGAAAGCTTGGTGATTGGTGATTGTATTAAACTTTTTTAGTTTATAATATTCCTGGTGCTCATGTTTTATTGGTTTTTCAGAAGATATATATGTAGACACACATATAATATGTATTAGTTTGTGTGTATATACACAATATATATATACATATATATACACATACTATATATGTGTGTGTGTATGTGTGTGTGTATATATATATATATATATATGTATAAAACATATATAAAACATATATACATACACACACATACATTGTATATGTATACTGCATGTGTGTGTGTATAAAAACATGATAAAGGGTAAAAGGGTAAAGTGCATCAGACTGGTTAGAACTGGCAAACACCTTACTTTTCTATCTCAACTTGACTAAAATAATACATTCTACATGGGGAGAGGAAATATCAGAGGGTTCTGATGGTGGAAAACAAGGCAAAGGCTACTAACAGTTCAGCACATCTGAGCACCTTAAGATCACATTGAAGAACATACATTTGTTGTCACTGTTTTCTAAGCAGAAGACACAATACAATACAATACAATACAATACAATACAATACAATACAATAACACAGTTGGAAGGGACTTTGGAAGTAGGTCTTCTAGTCCAATCCCCTACTCAGGCAGGAAACCCTAGACAGTCACTTGTCTGAAATGGTATAGGTTCTCCTGCTTGAGCAGGGGGCTGGACTATAAGACCTCCAAGGTCCATTCTAGCTCTATTCTATTCTATTTCTGCCCAAAATGCTGGAAAAATATCAATTTATTATGAATGGACCAATTATCTAACTTAGCAAAAAGCAGCTTTCTATGATGTGCATAATTAAATAAAACTTACTTTTAATTGGCTATGTCACCGTAGGTTTGACTGGCTTACAATAAACACCGTGGCCTCAGTCAGCCTAATCAAATGAACACTAAAAGTAATGGGGCTTAAATGAATCAAATTGATCTTAATAGAAGAATTGTTTCAGAATTCAATGAGCTTGCTTTTTAATCAGTGTTTACAATTGGCCAATTAAACTGCAATGTTGTACACATTTACAGAGAAACATATTCCCTTATATACACATATAGTTTACACAGGAGAACAAACTCAAACTACAGCTAGCAATGTGGGGGCCAAAATGTATGAAAAGACAGTATAAAATAATAAAAATATTGGCCAGGATATAGAGAGAGTAAACCCAATTCCATTCATGCAACAGGACTCTTCTACTTTTTTAACTACAGTATCAAACTCTCCTTGATATTTTTGGAATGCAGGGGCACCATAGAAAGGAGCAGGAAGGGAACAAGCATCACTGGACAAGATTTGGAAGTGGACTATTCTGGGGGAGTTGTGTGTGCAAAAGAAAGTACTTTGCTGCTTGCATGAAAATAATAATACTTTGTTTCTCTGATTCATTTTAAAACCACATTAAAATTTCTTCTCCAGTATGTTATACATTTTAAGGCTTTTACTACAAAGTTTATCAATAAAGTTGTTTATCTCAAATGCAATAAATAGCAGCACACTTTGGAGGGCTATTTCATTTCACTGCAGAATGCGTATTAAATATACATTATGCTTAAGACAACCAACATATCTAAAGTAGCACAACTTTTCCTCCTGATACCCTTATTTTCAATATACTGCAAGATTTGTCCCAAATCTTCAAGCATGCTATCCTTTCATGTATTCCAAAGATATAGTTCTAGAAATATTGTCATCATGTGGTCTTTTCTCTTAGGTTTATGGGGTTTACATTACTTTTAAAAAAATATAGTGCAACACAATGTAAAAAGCAGATAAACCAAATCTGTAGTTGATCAACCATGGAAAGTGCCAAATATATTGATTAGTGTTTCTCAACCTTGGCAGCTTAAAGATACGTAGACTTCAAGACCCAGAATTTCTCAGCCAGTGTGGGGAAGCCCCAATTCAGTCTGGGAGCCCCAAGCTGAACTCCACACATTTTCAAGTTACTAAGATTGGGAAACACTGGTTTCATATTTTAATATATTATATAATATCTTGATATTTATCATATTCTGTACATTTATATTAAGTCTGAATTTTTTCCTTGGTTTTAACATGAACACCTATAAAGGATTGGTCATAATGTTCAAACTGCCTTTTTGAACAGGATGTGACTCAGCAATGAATCATTCATCAATTGTATTTCAAGTTGAGTTATTTTTTTAAAAACCCCATTTTTAACAAATGTTTTTAAATGGCCAGTTTAGGGTAACAGAAAACTACTCACCTATTCATTTGTCCATTTTCTATTTCTGTAAAATCATTAGAATCATTGCTAATGTTGTCATCCTCACGAAGCTTCATATTTTGCATCTCAGTTAATTCTAGTGTTATTTTGAAAGGCATCTTGATTTAGAGAACTTATCCTGGAGTTTGAACTTTGGAGCTAAGTGAGCAGCCACACAATGAGTTTGACAATCTGAAAAAAGGAGTCATTAAAAAAAGCAAAACCACTGGTAAGAAGATCAGCAATTATCTCCCAAAGCATTATGCAATATTTTTCAATTGAGACAATTATTGTCTGAATTGACACTCATTTAACTCTGTTTTCAGTAAATACATCAATCTGAGAACTTTGACAACAGCTTGAGATATACCAATAGGTTAACTTTTCCCTTCATGTTTAGATGAAAGTAAAGGAAAGAGTAAAGGAAAGAGGCATTTAAAATGTTTGGGTAATTTACAGAAACTAATAAACAAGAATCCTAAAATATTATCCAAAGTGTTATGGAAATATATCACAGGCAACACTTCCAGCAGTATTAGAAAAAAACAACTCTGATTGTACCAACCAACTAGTATATGGTACTTCTGAATAAAGTCTCCTATGTGTCATTTGAAAATGGCAATTTTCTTACTTTCTGTATACTCATTGCTTAATAATAGGTGTTAAGTTGCAATCCTGAGTACATTTTACAGATGGTCCTCATTAGCAGCCACTTGTTCAGCAATCATCTGAAGTTATAACAGTGCTGAAAAATATTTTTATAGTCCATTTATTATCTTTGCAGCATTCCAGTTGTATGATCGCCAATATAGTCACTACTACACCTTGTTCTCTGCCTGATCTGCATTTTTTCTCCAGCCCTCCCCCACAAAGCAGAGATATTGGACAGATAGAGATGGCAAAGGATTAAGCTGTTTGCTCCTCTGTACATCAAAAGCAATGCAATCACATCAGAAGCCCAGAGCTTACAGTACTCTCTTGAAAACTCTTCCTCTCCAATCTCTCTGCTTTGTGGGATAGAGGAAAGGAGGAAAGCAAAGGTGAGTTGTGTAGAAAATCTTTCCTTTACCTGATCTCTCCTACTGCCAATGCATTCACATTGCTTAACTCTCTTGAAATTCCTCTTCAATATCTCTGCTCTGCAAAGGAGAGGGTCATACAAAGGAGACTTACATAAATCACTTGTTTTTTCTCCCAACCCCTCTCACAGAGTGGAGTTTGGAGAGAAGAGGATTTCAAGACAGTAAGCTGTTTGTGCAGCACACCCATGCATTGCTTCCGATGTGAACAAGATAGTAAGCAGGCACTCGACCATTCCAAAGGGAAAGGGATGTTAGGAAGCAAATCCAAGCAATAATTAATCCAAGCAATTGGTTAATCCAAGCAACACTGAATTCACATATTGCATTAAGCAATGGATTGTTAAACTATGCTTTGTTTGGGGGTGGTTGTTGTTGTCGGGGAGAGACCAGGTGAAGCTAAAGAGGAGTTTGGAGTTTTATGTGATTCTTCTCCTCTGAGATAGAGGGAAAGAGAGAGAGAGTGAGAAAGCGGAGTTTTATAGCTTTCTTTCGCAGGGGGATATCCAGAGCGAAGGAAAGAGTGAGAGTGAGAAGAGGGAAAGTTTGCTGGGGTTTTAAATCTAGGTTTTAACTAGAAGGGAAGGGGGGGAGATTTGGCATAGAGAGACCTGGGACCATGAGTGCCGACAGAAGAGAAGGAGAGGCTGGTCGCTACCGTTTTGGAGACCAGTGGCCATCCAAATTTTGATCCTTATCACCTGTGCAACCTGTAGACATTGTGGGGAGCTGCCCTCGTGGGGCGAGCTGTTGTCATGGAGCGCTGACTATCTTCGCTCATCCTTTCCGTCGCTGCCTGGAGCCGGAGGGCCTTCCCCCCATTTTCCAAGCGGCTGCTACAAGCCATTGACTATTATTGTCATTGCCAGGGGGCTGATAAACACTGTCACACACTGACTGTTAAGGATTGGTCATCTTTGTTCCTGTAAGCCCCTTTGACGACGAGAACCTGCCACCCCTTCACTCCACGTGAGCTCCCGCTAAAAAGGACATCCTATCAATGCTTTGAGAGCATGGATGCTGAGCGTGACTGAAGGGGGGGGCTAGGAGGGCCTGGGCTTTAGCAGCCTCTGAGGGGATTGCGCTACATTTATAAACCACAATAGCTGGATTCATATAATATATTAAGCCAAACTCAAATTAATCACATTGCAATTTACTACAATATGTAAATACACCTACTGGTTTGTTCAATCAATCATATTTAATGCACACTATAGCTCAATACAATATGTTAACCCAGCAAAAACAACTTGAGAACATCATTTGTGGTTTTGTATACTTCATTTAATATACACAGGCACACTTTATTTCTGTAAAATTTGGCTCGCTTTCAAGCTGTTTTAAAGGATGCTAGTTTTAGCTTCAGAATATTTTTCTACAGACTGAAATTGGAATTAGTTCTGCATTCATAGCTCTTAGGAATATTTCTTAAACTATTTCTTTATATAATGGCATAAATGGGTTTAAACTGAGCAATACCGTATTTTTTCATTGCTGAGCATAAGGGAGTTTCACTAAAAACATTCATAATATCTCTAATACATTTTTTATTGTTTTAAATTTTCAGATCAGTTTTTTTCTTCAAGAAGAAAAACACTTCCTTGGTGGGCTGCAGTGAAACTTTAGAAGACAGAAAAGCCATCTGGGAAACAAGAAGAAATTACTGAGCAATTGAAAAATTTGAAGTAACAGTTAAGGTAACTGAAGAAATAGAAATAGTACAGACAATATGATAGGCTTTGTACTCACATATCTTTTTATGCCAAATTGTCACTGTCAACCCCCGGCTGAAAAGCCCAACCAAGCAAAACATCAGACCCATTGCAACCGTCTAATGCAGTGATGGCGAACCTTTTAGAGACCAAGTGCCCAAACTTCAACCCAAAACCCACTTATGTATTGCCGGGTGCCGGGTGGGTGTGGCTGCCGGGTGGGTGTGGCCCACCAGTTGGGCGTGGCTACAGTGGTCATGACAGATGGATGGGCGTGGCCAGCTCAATGTTGCTCTTGGGGAGGGACGCCTTTGGGGGTCGGGCAGAGTTGGGGGAAATCCAGGGGTCTCTGGCGGGTGGGTTGGTGGGCAGGAGGCTGATTCTGTGGGGTGAGGCAAGGCAGAGCGGGGGTGCCATATCGCAGGGCAAGGCAAGGCAGGGGCCAGGGCAGCTGCTGCCTGACACCATCGGCCCCCGCACACAGAGGCCAGCAAGCGCATGGGTGCTGGGATGCATCCAGCCACGTGGGACCTCGGCAAGTTAGCAGGTGGCTGGTTGAAGAGGATGGTTGCCATCTCCGGGGCATGGTGCGCGTGCCCACAGAGAGGGCTCCAAGTGCCACCTGTGGCACGCGTGCCATAGGTTCGCCACCACTGGTCTAATGATTACTTTTATTGAGTAGAATCAAACTGGTAGAGTCAAAGAGAAGCTAGCTCTAGGGAAATGGCAGGAAGCAGTTAATTAAAAGAACAAAACTTTTCCCAATCCTCTCTGACAGTACAGGTCACGTTGTCCAATACATCTTGTAGTAATTATTATGAGAACAGACTTTAGTTTTGCCAAAACAATTCTTCAGCAACTTCCGGTCTCACGCTGATAAAGGACACCTGTAGATTCAAAGCTCTCTTCCCTTCCTCCCCACTCTGTTGGCAAGTTAGAAGCACGCTGCAGCCCTAAAGGCAGCAGGCTTCATAGCTGAACAGTCACCTCTTTAAAAAAACATTCTGTAAAATTGTCCTTCAATCAATTAGAAATTTGTTCTAAAATTTATTTTTGCAGTATTTAATATTAAATTTATTTAAAGTGTTGGAGCTAAATAAGGACACATATGAGAAGACATATTCCAAACACCTTTTACCTATAGTTTGTACACAAATGACAATAAGTCAAAAAAATGGTTTATAAACCAGTATATCTGTTTCACGTTATGCTAATCCAAACAAGATCAAGATAGTTTAGAATCATATTTGAATTCAATCAATATATGAAATTGTTCTGAAGAAATATCAAAGGGAAGGGTTTCTAGATCAGGGCTTTTCAACCAGTGGTACGCATACCATTGGTGGTACTTTGGACCTAAACAAGTATAGCTGGGGGGATGAGCTGAAGTGGCGGCAATGCCAATGAGTTCAAGTGGCACCAGCGCCAGAGAAGCCTGGGGGAGAGTCAGCTGGAGCTGCGGTGTTGCTGGGGTTCTGCTGAGAGGCCAAGATTGGTGCGCGCAGCTCCAGCTAATCAGTGCTTCCAGAGGCCTCGGGGGTGGCCAGCAGCCTCATGCAGTTTTCAGGCGGAGTCAGCTCGAGCTGCAGTGTTGCTGGGGCTTTGCTGAGAGCCCAGGATTGGCGCTTCTGGCAGCCTCTGCTATCACCGAGAGTAGCAGATAGGCCTTGGGGTGAGTCAGCTGGAGCTGCCGGGGCGTGGCAGCTACATGTTGATCAGCACTTCCAGAAGAGAAAAAGAGGAGGTGGGGGAGAGAGAGGAGAGGAGAGGATATAAAAGGAAGAGGTTTTGGTGAGAGAGGGAGAGGGAGAGGGGAAAAATGACGATGGGGAAAGAGAAGGTGATAGAGAAAGAGAGAGGGAGAAGAGGCTGTGGAAGGCGAGCTCAGCAGGCAGTGAGGAGAAAGAGAGAGGGAACAGAGGCTGTGGAAGAAGAGCCCAGTAGGCAATGGAGAAAGAGAGAGGGAGCAGAGGCTGTGGAAGAAGAGCCCAGCAGGCAGTGAAGAGAAAGAGAGAGGAAGAAGGACTGACCAGCCAGCTGACAACCACAATAGTGGTGCATATTAATAAATATGGATAAATTCATCATACGTTCATCAATGCAAAGGGAAAGTGATTCAGCAAAAGAACTGCCACCGAAGAAATTAAAACAGTACTTTCCCCCCTTTTTAACGGTTTGTAACATTTTATTAGCGTATAGAATAAAATACAAAAATACAAAAGCAAATAGTAGGACACAGTGGGGAGGAAAAAGGGAAAGAAGGGAAAAAGAAAAGGCAATGACTTCCGACTTCCTCTCTTGCAGTAGAAAGAAGCATTAAAATCGAACCTCAATTTTTTACTTTTCCATAATAGTATAAACTAGCCATTTCTATAACAACAAATCAATTTAATTAATA